GCGGCGACGCCGAAGACGGCCGGATCGCCCTCCAGCTCCGTGAGGCCCGCCTGAAGAGGAGGTTCAGAGAGGTCCCCCTCGCCACGGCCCCGGGGAGGGCCCTCGAGTGGGGCCTAGGAGCAGGTTTCTTCTCCAAGATCTGGACGGGCCTGGGGGGCACGGCGCACACCGCGCCCATCGGCGAGGACCCAGACCCCAGCGCGGGCCCCGTCTGGGCGATCCTGGCGACGCTGGGCCCAGACCCCACGGGGCGCAGCGCCTGCAAGGCGGCCAGGCAGGCCGCCCGCCTGGGCGCCCAGCGGATCGCCCTCGACGCCCCGCGGCAGCTGCCTCTGGGCGAGGCCGCTCGCAGTCTGCAGGAGCAGGGCTTCACGGTGAGCACCGAGGACCTCCTCGCGACCGAGGTCGGGGAGCTGGTGGCGCGCCGTCGTGCCCTCCTGCTGGGCACGAGGCACGTGGGCGACGAGCAGCAGGCATGGACGTTCGACACCCTCGACCTCAGGCGCCCGATTGCGCCCGCGGTCGGCCCCGTGCTGCAGCCCCCGAGCGCACTGCCGCCCGACGCATGGCTGCTCCACGCCCGCTTCGAGGCCGACCCCCGCATGCGGAGAGCGGAGGACCGGCTCCTCCCAGTGGGCGTCGGCCACCTCTGGACGGACAAGGGACGCGAGGTGGTCTACAGCACGGGCGGACCCCTCCCGACCATCCAGGCCGACTGGACGACACACCCACCGCCCCTGATCCGGGACTTCAAGGGCCCGGGGCACGGGGTCAGGCGCGTCACGCTGGAGGAGAGCTGGCTCGCCGTGGGTGGCACCCTAGAGAACTTCCCCACGCCCCAGGACGACGCCGCGGCCGCACATGTCACGAGGCTCATCGCGGGCGACACGGGGGCTCGACTCGCCGGCGCCGTCGCCCTCTGGGCGGGAGCTGCCCTCGACTGGGAAGCGAGTGCAGGCGCTTGCTTCGACCTCGACGCGCAGGCCAAGGAGCGTGGCATGCGCGAATGGCTCGCACGCTGGAGGCAGGGTCTACTGCCCGGGCGCCCGCCACCGGCCCCCCTCCCGCACGCTGCACCGGGGCTACCGCCAGCACACCCCGGAGAGCCTGGCCGCCACGCAGGCGGCAGCACCCCGGGAGAGGGGGCCGACCGCCGCCCCCCGACGCGCTGCGCCGCCTTTCGCCCGGCTGACGGGGGTATCGACGCACGCGCGGCGGCCCTCGCAGCGGGCCTCGTCTGGCAGGACATGGGCGGCACCCAGGACGAGCACGACGCCGCTCGCGCTGCGGGGGCGTCGGCACTGCCCGAGATCGCCAGGCCCCCTCGCAAGCAGAAGATGCCCCAGCTGGGACTTGTCTCCATTTCGGCCCCCGAGCACCTCGTCGACCTGGCGCCGGACGTCCCGGTGTTCGCAGAGGTCCAGGAGTGGGTCCACAAGAAGTTGGCCAGCGGGCTGGCGCACAGCACCCGCACCAGCTACGGCGAGGCCTGGTCCAAGTGGCTCTGGTGGTGCACCCGCAGGGGTATCCCGCCGCTGTTCGAGGGCGACTCCAAGAGGCAGGTGACCGAGGACGAGGAGGAGCTCCTGCGCTTCATCGGCTACCTGGGCTGGCTGGGCAAGGGCAACGGCACCATCCTCAGCACCCTCTTTGCACTCCAGGGCGGCCACGTACGGGCAGGAGGCGGCGACCCTCTCGTCGGGAAGAAGCGCATCAAGGTCCTCATCGACTCACTCCAGAAGGGCGGCCCGAAGGAGGAACGCAAGCTCGGCGTCACGCCGCGCATGATGATCTGGCTGAAGAAGGAGCTCAACCCCACCCCGCCGTGCCAGGGAGAGAGGGCCACGAGGGGGCCTGACTTCGACTCGGTGGTGCTCTGGGGGGCCCTCTGCACGGGCTTCTTCTACCTCTGCCGCGCGAAGGAGATCGTCGACAGTGGAGGCGTCGATGAGCAGATGTGCCTGCGCGGGGTCGATGTGGCATTCCATGACAAAGAAGGAGGTGCTGCAGCTCCTGGAGTAGGCTCGGCAGCCAAGGCCCTGATCACGTTTCGCAAGACCAAGACGGACCAGCGGGCGTTCGGAGCATGCAGGACTCACCACAGGGCCGAGGCGGAGGTCTGCCCGGTGGAGGCCCTGGAGCTCCTCCGCCTCCACGCGCCCGAGCGCTTCCAGGAGGGCTCCGAGGGCCGCCGCCCGCTCTTCCGCTGGGCCTCGGGCCGCATGGTCAAGCGGGAGCAGCTCCAGGCCGCGCTGCAGCGAGCTGCTGCGGCGGAGGGCCTGCCGCCGAAGCGCTTCAAGAGCCACTCCCTCCGCATCGGAGGCGCCTCAGCGCTATGGCACGCGCTGGGCGACGCCGAGGCGGTCAAGAGATGGGGTCGCTGGAGCTCGAACGCCTTCCACGGCTACCTCTACGACTCGGAGGAGCAGTCGAGGGGCGTCGCGGCGGCCATGGCCCGCGACGTGGCCACGCTCCACGCGGCATGACGGACAATGGCGGGTGGGCCACCTGGCCAGAGCGCGGCACGGCAGAGGCCGTGCTCAGAGCGGCCAGAGCAGGGCCGCTCAGACGGAGGTGGAGCTGGTCGCACCTCGTGCTGCAAAATGCGGGGTGAGTGACGCTCTCTCCCCTCCTTTTCTCCTCTTCCCCCCTCCGGCCCTGGGGGGCTCTTTCCCCGGGCCTGGCCCTCGTGGGCCCTCTCCCCGGGGCCTCCCCGGTGCCTTTGGGGCGCCTTCCCTCCTTTGCTCTCCTCGGCTTAGGCTTCGCCACCGCCGCCAGTAGTTAGAAGTTTTGGGCTCGTTAACTCGTTAACTTGCTGAGTTTTGGTAGCGACCAATAACGTGTAGGTTTGAAACTCGTTTCGAAACCGTAGGTTCTTGGGAGTGTTGGGGGAAACCTCAGCCATTTTCCCCTGCTCTTTTGCCCACCCAGGGACCCTCAAGAGGCTCCTCCCACCCTAGGGCTGCCGGTCCCCCGCCTGCGTGCACGAGGTGCGCGGCGGGTGGGCCACCTGGCCAGAGCGCGGCACGGCAGAGGCCGTGCTCAGAGCGGCCAGAGCAGGGCCGCTCAGACGGAGGTGGAGCTGGTCGCACCTCGTGCTGCAAAATGCGGGGTGAGTGACGCTCTCTCCCCTCCTTTTCTCCTCTTTCCCCCTCCGGCCCTGGGGGGCTCTTTCCCCGGGCCTGGCCCTCGTGGGCCCTCTCCCCGGGGCCTCCCCGGTGCCTTTGGGGCGCCTTCCCTCCTTTGCTCTCCTCGGCTTAGGCTTCGCCACCGCCGCCAGTAGTTAGAAGTTTTGGGCTCGTTAACTCGTTAACTTGCTGAGTTTTGGTAGCGACCAATAACGCGCCTGCGATGGGTGTACCTCGACACACTTCACCTCAATCGAAGTACCTGACCACCCTCCAGACTCATCTCGACGAGGACAACTTCGACATCACCAGTGTGAAGAGGCTGAAATCCTGGTTCCCGTGCGCCCCCATGGCCGCTGACGGGCATGATCCCACAGCAGGGGATGAACACCAACTGCTCAGCCTCGCTACCCGAACATTACTAAACTCTACGCTTTCGATTTCTTCCCAGCCGACATCGACCCCTACTACTTTTCTCCTGCCCCCGCACCTTATGAGACCCACGATGACCAGATTGCTGCTGCTCGTGAACTACATGTCATTGCTGAAGTACTCGTGCATTGGGCTGCGGATTGGCTACCCGACCTATACATCGACAAATGGGACCACGCGCTACGTCGAGACATCGATTGGATGGACTGGTGTGAACAATATGTGATCCGTCATTTTCGCCGATAGAGTTTCCGCATCCTCTCCACCGCCGCATCGGAAGAAGACCTCCGTCGCCGTGCTCGCAACATGCGCCGACAGGCCCGGCACGACTCAGACGCCAATCGCTATGGTACGGCGATATACATGACGAGGATCCCGAGATCAAATGACATACAAGCAGCGTTCAACCGTGCCGCCGAGGAACATCGTCTACGCCGCGAGTGGGTACATATGGCCGACTTCGTGTCTGATCCCTCCGACAACGCCTACATCGAGGAGATCAACGAACATCTACATCCTGATGCTGGCTCTTTCAATGACCTGACCGCGTTGTACCAGCCCCCGAACAGTGTCAAGACCCATCGGTGGCGCACGCGAGCAGTGATCGCCCGCATGCCACCCTCACGATTCTGGCCTACGTTAAAGACCCTGGCTGGCGCCCGGTCAACTTCATGCCGTCTCCATGTACAACTCTATCGCCGCCCATGCATATATGGGTGTAACGCAAACTACGCTACGGATAGCATCTCGCACTACCTCATCTGTCCCAGGCTCTGGCATGCTTTGGCATATCCCAGGGGCTGCCTATCGAACTGCTTGCTGGCCGCCTCGGGATGCACGAGAGCTGCCACAACGTCGACCCGAACAACGAGAGCCACGTCTCCCACGCGATGGTCCGCCTGGCCGTCGCCTACCGCATGTACCACACTGACCAGGATGTTGCTGGCCTCCTACAGCGACGTGAACGCGTTCGAGGCTTCGACGTACAACCACCTGAGTGAAGCGCGTACCGCCGCACGCCAGGCCCTCCGACTCGGCGCATCGCCGCACGGAGGCAGTAGCGCGGGCCCGCCGCCTGCCGCGGGTCAGCCTTTCTCTCCTCCCGACCGCCCGCCGTCCCGCTTGTCCTCACGTGCTCCTCTCTTCCGGCCGTCCGACTGGTCCTCTTCTCCGCTTCGAAACGTCAACTACGCAGAATGCACGCCGCCTGTGCCGCCCCGCGCGCCACCTGACGCAGCCAGCGCAGGTGCTGGCCGCTAGACGTTGACTCGCCCCCCTCCAGAGTTCGTTCGCTCCTCCTCCTCTTCTTCCTCCTTTTCCTCCTCCTCCTCCTCTTCCTCCTCCTCCTCCTCCTCCTCCTCCTCCTCCTCCTCCTCCTCCTCCTCCTCCTCCTCCTCCTCCTCCTCCTCCTCCTCCTCCTCCTCCCTGCCCCCGCGGGAGGCGTCGGACTTGCTGATGTCGCCTTTGGTCGACAAGCCCGGGAAGATGGCCAGGCCCCTGCCGCTCAAGTCTGCCAGGGCCGCGCCCGTGATGGACCGCGTGAACAGCTGGAACACCTCGAGCAGGTGCCCTGTCGTTCCAGTTGTCGTTGTTTTTGTTGTTTCGTTTTTTCCCTCCAGGGTTAAGCCGGGTTTGTCCTTCCACGGGGGGAATATTCAGAAATAGTCAGAAGATAGTCTGGGGACGATTTGTTTAGCCATGTTGGACAACTTTGGGAGAATTGTTCGGGGTATGTTTCATGTTTCGTCCAGAATCCCCCTGTAGGGGGACAGGCCCGACCTAACCCCAGGGACGTCGACGAGTGGGATGAGGACCTGTCGGCGGCCCCCAAACGGTGTGGTAACCACACCGTGTGGACTCCGTTCCGTGTGGCGAGTCTGTGGGGATTCGGGGTTACCGCACGGTTTGGGGATCCAGGTGGTTTTCCGAGGATGTCTCGGACGATTAGGGCCTCCAGGGTTTCAAAGTCGTGTGGTGACATACAGTGCGGTGAGGTCCTTCGGGAATTCGAGGTCACCGCACGGTCCGTCACCGCGTCACCGCATTGTTTTGGGACCCTCGAACCAGGGAGGATTGGCACGAGGGGTTGAGGACTATGGAGACGAGGAAGAAGTACCAATACCTTTGTTCGTCCTGGAGAGCCCTCGTTGCCAATGCCAACTTCATCATCGAAATCCTGGTCAGAATGCACACCCCGAGAGGTCTGCGGAGTGGCGGCATCGGTATCTGTTTGTCCCCCCAAAGACTCTTGGGGTGAGGGCTCGTGGACCAGGGGGGGACTACGGTCAGGAATGCTGGCTTAGCTTGTCGTTCCGCCGGTTCTGGCCCACCACGCTTCGGCGCGACACGCTGTCCACGTCCCCATGCCCATGCGTCTCAACGCCCCGAGCTGTTCCCAGCCGCCCGCCACGCGGAGCAGAGCAGCACGCCATCCGCTTGCAAGGCACAGTGTGTCGTCGTTGGGGCCGCCGCAGAGGCACGCTGTGCAAGAGTTCCTGGCCGCAGGACGCGGCTACGCGTAGGAGTGAGCAGCCTTCGCCGGAGTGACCCTTGGCATGCGCGCTTGGATTTGCCCCCTCCCCCCCCCCGGCCACCTGAATCCGCTCTTGCGCAGGGACGCTCTTGCGCGTATTTGAAGGACTCGTGGGGTGAGGACTGCCGGGCAGGAGTCGGGGCCGGGGCCACGAAGTCCCGCCCGTGCTGGGTCTTCCCCGCCGCGTGGCCTCCTGTCTCCTTCGCTCGCCTCCTCCTGCCATGCCATGCCGCCTGCCTCCTTGTGTTCGGGGTCGTCGGGGGGGGTAGATGGACAAAAAAGTGGAACCTTTCAGAACCCTTCACTCCACGTTCCCCCCCCTCCGCCCCCCCCTGATTCAACGTTGGCCCCGGGCAGTCGGAGGCACAGACGCGAGAAGACAGGCAGAGCAGAACCCCCACGCCCAAATCTGAATCTGGGGGAAGGGGGTGGGGAGGGGCGAACACGGGGTCTAACATTGCAGAATTCCATGTTGTTGCCCCCTTGCAGAAGGACTGGGGAGGGAGCTGGACAGCGTGGCCAGGGCCATGACATCCCGCACGGTCGGACCGGGGTGCAAGATCGAGGTCGGTTCGGGGAGGGTAGCCTAATGTTCTTCGTGCTTGTTGGATGCTACCGGGCATCCTGGGGGAGGGTACCCTCGAAGGCTCTTCAGTTTGGCCAGCAGAGGGTCTCACTTTCTGGAAGGTCCTATAGGTCCGTCTGTAGATGTCATCCCTCCCCTTGGCATCGCACGGACGTGTGCATTGTTCCTTCGGCGAGGATCATCGAGGAGCATCCTTGGCCAGTTGGCGAAAAAACGCGCACGAAGCCGAATAAATAGCACAGGGAATGGACGTCCGAGCGATGGCGAGTCCCCCGTCGCCCGCGCGCGCCCCTCGGCCGCCGCCTCGCCCCCCCGTCGCCCGCGCACGCGTGCCTCGGGGACATGACGCGACGCCGCCCTTTTTGTGTGTTCTTCTTGTGTGCTACGGTGGTTCTCGTTTTCGTTTTCGTTTTCGGTCTCCCTCCTTTTGTCTGATCGAATCGAAACAGGCCCCCGAAATCGCCCAAATACCGTTTCCTTTTAGGTTGACCCCTGCTCCTATCTGGGTGTTCGCTTCGTCGATCTCGACCCCCCGGGCCCGCACGGCCCCCCGCCGTGGCGCCCGCCGCCCTTTTTGTGTGTTCTTCTTCCTGGGGTTGGCTCGCGCTCGGCGCGCGGCCGCCTGCAGGGGGCGTGTATGGGGGAGGAGGACAGGGAGGAGACGAGGGCGAAGAGTAGGACGAGGGCGAGGAGGAGGAGGAAGAAGAGGAGGAGGAGGAGAAGACGAGAGCGAGGGCGAAGTGGAGAAGAAGGAGGAGGAGGAGGAGAAGACGCGGAGGAGGAGGAGACGCGAGGAGGAGGAGGAGCAGGACGTTGGTATTGGAGCTACTGGCTCAGCACAATGTGCGTCAGAACGAGAGAGGGGGGGAGAGAAAGAGAGAGAGAGAGAGAAAAGAAAAAGAGAGAGAGAGAGATTACCAGAGACCCTGCGTGAGCAGGACTGCCTCCAGCTGCGCCGGGACTCCCTCGCGCCTGGAGAGCAGACGTTGCTCGATGCGGGCGAGGTTCCCTCGCCCCTTCCTGGTCCTGGCCTGACTCGCCTCCCTCCCTCCCTCCCTTCTGCCGGTGCAACTACACCTGTCACGAGTTTTGTTGGCCATCTTTCGCGACCTGGGGAAGGGTACCCTCGAATGCTCTCGGGGAAGAAATTGGGACTGGTGGGCATAGGGTCGGAGGAGGAGGAGGAGGAGGAGGAGGAGGAGGAGGAGGAGGAGGAGAGAGGAGGAGGAGGAGGAGGAGGAGGAGGAGGAGGAGGAGGAGGAGGAGGAGGAAGAGGAGGAGAGGAGAGGAGAAGGAGAAGGAGAAGGAGGACGAAGAGGAGAAGGAGAGATCAGACCGAATGTTTGAGGCTTCGGGCTAGGGTGTTCACCATGGCTTCTTAGATTGGCGGGGCAGGCGAGGTCGGTGTTGTTCCTCGGAGGGCGCCTGCAGTGGCCTTCTGCTTCTGGGCCCTCTTTTTGCCAGCGGAGGGGCCCACGTCCTTCTGGCATGTTAGCCTGTCCCCCTACAGAGGGGATTTTCGACGAAAAATATAACATACCCCAGACATGATCCGAAAATAGTCCAAACATAGTCTGGGGACTATTGTTTCACCTTTTTGGAGCATTTTGGGGGTATTTCTTATTTTTCGTCGAAGATCCCCCTGTAGGGGTGCACGCCCAGCCTGGCGATCCCCCTGTAGGGGGATCGCCAGTTGGCAACCTGGCACCCATACACATATGACCCCCAGATTTGACGGATTGGCTGTCTGGACGGGCAACAGGTGCGTGCTGTCTGTCGGGCGGGGCCCCGCTCGAACGGTTGGCCCTCTTGTCGGTGTCGGACAACCCGCGCCAATACTTCTGGCGCAGCCTCAAATCATCGCGAAGCGCGGGCCAGGCCCCCCTAGGGAGCATTGGTGTGTATCGTGCCTCTGCGTGGGCCGGCCGCGCGCGTTCCCTGCTTCCCGCTCCTCCACGCCTCCGCGCTGCGCGCGAGGCCGCGACGCACCACAACGAAAGCCTGTGCCTGGCATCGCTCGCACGTGTGTATTTTTCCCTCGGCGAGGACCATCGAGGAGCAGCCTTGACCACTTGGCGAAAAAGCCACGCACCAAACCGAAAAAAGCACAGGGAATGGACGTCCGAGCGATGGCCAGTGTGGCGTCCGCTCGTCCTGCTGGCGTGTGCACGGCACGGGCGTCCCCCGGGCGCTTCTGCCGAGGCGCCGAGGCGCGGAGCTCGTGCGCGCCCGCGCCGCGGCGGGCCGCCGCCCCGCGCGGCCCCGGCCCTCGGCCATGGCGGCGCCGAGGCCACAGCCATCGCCGACCGCGGCGTCGCCGGAGCTGCTGGTGATCGGGGCTGCGCACGAGGAACGCCCGAAATGGGTACTGAAAGAATGGGTACGATGCCCAACAGCAGCTCTTTTTCATTCTGAACAGGACTCGCTGTCCACGCCGCCGCGGCCTGTGTCCATTCGAGACAGGAGGTCGCCCGCCCAACAGCGGCCGCTGTCGGTTTGGGACAACATTTGCTGTTGGGCATTGTACCCATTTTTTCGGTGCCCATTTCGGGCGTCCAAAGGGGAGCAGGGGCAAGGTCAGGGGGGCCATGCGGTCGGGCGCTTCTGGGTGGCGTGTCGCTCCGCCGGTGCTGGCCCACGGCGCGTCGTCGCGACACGCTGTCCGCCTCCCAGTCCCCAGGCTTGAACGTCCCGAGCCTTTCCGAGGCGGGAGCGTGGAGCGACACGCGATACACTCGCGAAGCACAGCATGTCGCTGGGGCCGCCGCCGCCGCGACACACTATCCAAGAGTTCCTCGGTGTAGAGGCTCGAGGTTCGAGATCGTTCCCGAATAGCGCTTCGAGGGAGGATTCCGCAGGAGGATTTTTTAAATTCCCACAGGGGAGCGGGGAGCCCGAGGCCGCCGCCCGAGGCCGCCCGGTCCAGAGGCAGCCAGCAGCCGCTTCGCCTCAGAGTTCCCCGCAGTCTGTTCCGGAGTCGCTCTCTCGCCTCAATGCCGGCAACATTCGGGGGCGGAAAAGATCAGAGCCCCGAATCATCAGGGGTAACTCGGGTCAGGGCTAACTCGGGTTCCTTTTTCGGGAATCCAAACCCGAGTTACCCCGGACCCGAGTTACCCCGGATAACTCGGGCGTCCAGAGCCCCGAATCATCAGGGGTAACTCGGGTCAGGGCTAACTCGGGTTCCTTTTTCGGGAATCCAAACCCGAGTTACCCCGGACCCGAGTTACCCCGGATAACTCGGGCGTCCAGAGCCCCGAATCATCAGGGGTAACTCGGGTCAGGGCTAACTCGGGTTCCTTTTTCGGGAATCCAAACCCGAGTTACCCCGGACCCGAGTTACCCCGGATAACTCGGGCGCCCAGAGCCCCGAATCATCAGGGGTAACTCGGGTCAGGGCTAACTCGGGTTCCTTTTTCGGGAATCCAAACCCGAGTTACCCCGGACCCGAGTTACCCCGGATAACTCGGGCGCCCAAGAAAAGAGGGGGGTGATGACTAGGGGGGGGGGGGATACCATGGCTTGGACCATGATATTTCCCCAGATTTCATGGCGCCTCTTCTTGTTTCATTACGTCCCTGGCCCCCCCGCTGGGCCGCGCACATGCCGCCGGCCATTATTTGCACCCCCCCCTCTTGGACGCCCCCCTCTTTGCCGCCCCCGAAACATTTTCTGCCCAGACTGCCACGATCCTTGGTACATCATGCACCAGGGTGCACATGGCCGTGCTCTCACCCTTGTCCCTGTTGCATGTGTCAGAGGGAGGACGAGGAGGAGGAGGAGGAGGAGGTGTCCCCCCCCCCCTGTGCCAGGCCGCCCCCCCGAACTTCCCCCCCCTCCGCGAGGAGCCCAGCGGGGCGCGCCGCCCCCCGGGCCCACCCCGCCGCGGGCAGCTCCAGGGCAGGCCGGTGGCCTCGCTGCTGGCCGAGGAGCTCCAGCAGCTGCTCGCCGACGTCCTGCGCGCCGAGCTGTCCGGCGCCGCCGGCACGACGAGCGAGGCTCAAGTCGGGCGTGTCCCTCTGCAGAGGGGGAATATTCAGAAACAGTCGAAACATGCTCTGGGGGTCATTTTTTGGCCATTCTGGAGCTTTTGTTTTGCATTCTTGTTTTATTTTTCGTCGACAATTCCCCTGCATGGGGGGCACGCCAGACTGGAAGCGAGGCCCTGCCGGAGCGTCGGGCCCAGGAGGTGCTGGCCGGGCAGGCGGCCCAGACCTCCGTGCAGACGTTGGCGGCCAGGACCAGCGCCCAGGGCGATGGCGGCGCGGCCGGCGCCGAGCAGAGCGCCAGGCCTCGTCCGAGCGTGGGGTTCCGGGCGGTGCACAAGTCAGGAGGGAAGGAAGCACACAGACACAATCAATCGTCGACTCCCGGGAAAAAATGGGAAGTGGGGGGGAAGACGAAAACCTAGAAAATATGGGGAATCCTGAGATTTGTGTGTATTCATTTGTGTGTCCCAGGGCCCCTTCAATAAGGTAGGGGCAACCGATGGGGGGGGGGCGAAGAGAAAAGGTGCACCTCTCGTGCACCTTCGGAGCCCTGAGGGGGCCCAAGAGCGCATGAAAGGTGCGCGCTTCTTCGCCGGCCCCTGCATCGCCCCCCACTGAGCATGTCCAAGGTTCTTGGACCAGCACGAGCTCATCCGCGTCAAGCCGCCGGAAGCGTGGATTCGGTCACGGAGCCAATCGAACCACGGGCGCGTATCGGTCTGGGAGCGCGTGAGGCAGATGCGTGGGGCAGAGTAGCCCGAGCAGAGCCAGCCTAGTTTCTCTGTGTGGGTAGAAGATGAGGAGGATGAGAAACAAGGGCCGCCGCTGCTTGAGATACTGATGTCGCTCAGCCCGTTCGCAAAGGCAGGAGCGCTTTATAGTCGGGTGTGCCGCTGGGCACGCCGCTGGCAGTGGTTCGTTCATGACGTCAGGGAACCCTTGCGGACTGGATATATTGCAGAATGTGTCATGAGCAGGAGTTTCGAGATATTTTTCTCGTTCGTCATTGTCCTCAATGCGATTTATATGGCCCTCGCGATGAACTACCAGGTGAGGAACCCGATGAATGGGCAAACCCTTCTAATGGGCGTGGCCGAAGTCACGTTCGTGAGTTTGTACAGTGTGGAGCTTGTGTCCAAGTTGATCGTCCATAGGTGGTTCTTTTTCTGGAACAAAGAGATGCGCTGGAATGTGCTGGACTTTGGTCTGGTTGTGTACGGCATCTTCGACATCGTGTTCGAAGCTTCGTTCGGAGATTCGGGATCTCAGTCCCCATCCTGGCTGCGGGCACTACGTCTGTTCAAGATGGCCAAGGTGTTGCGGATGCTTCGCGTGATCAGGACATTCCACGAGCTCCACTTGATAATGGCTTGTATCGCTGGGTCAATACAGTCCCTGTTTTGGAGCTTGGTAATGATGTGCGTGATTATGTACATGTTCTCGCTAGTCTTCGTGCAGCAGGCGGCCGCCTATTTGGGCTCGGGGAACGCCAGCGACGAAATGGATGGAGATATCCTGGCGCATTACGGCTCGGTGGAGGCCAGCATGTTCACATTGTTCAAGACCCTCTTTGGCGGTGACGATTGGTCCCCGTTCTATGAAATTATGGCAGAGGTGAGTTTCCTCACGCAAGTCCTCTTCGTGGTGTTTGTTGCTGTTTCACAGATTCCTTTCGCTTCGCGGGGTGCATGTCTGGAGCACGTGCAATCCAGTCGTTGCGGGGCCTGGTGGGAGCCTTTTCGGAGCCTCTTGGAGGCCCCTTGGGCGCCTCTTGGGGCTTCTTGGGGGCTGCTTTGGGACCTCTTGGGGCCTCTTGGGGCCGTCTTGGGCCGTCTTGAGGCGCTCTTGTGCGGTTTGGCCCCTCGCGAGGCCGTCCTATGGGCCTCTCGCGGCCGCTTTGGGGCTCTTTGGGGGTCCCCTTGGGCCGTCTTGGACGCCTCAAAGACCGTATTGGGGGCCTTTGTGGGCCGTCTTGGGGCTCTCTTGGGCCGTTTTGGGGTCCTCTTGGGGGTTTCTTGGTTCGTGTTGGGGGCATGTTGGAGGCCGCCTGAGCCGTCATGGGCCCCTGAGAGTCGAAAAATGCGAGAACGCTAAAATCTGCCAACAACCGGAGGATAAGTTATGATTTGGGCCTCTGGAGGCGCTCGTGGGGGTCCTCTTGAGGCTCTCTTGGGCCTTCTTGGGTTGGGCCTCTTGGGGCCATCTTGGACCGTCTTGGTGTCGTCTTGGCCCGTGTCTTGAGGCCATCTTGAGCCGTCTTGACGGCTTCTTAGACCCCCAAGGTCCCCAAGGGGCCCAAATCGCTGATTTCCCAAAGGTTTTCGCACGTGCTCCAGAAGGAGGGGTGGACACTCATCCTGGTCGGCGGATGTGGCGTGGCCCCTGGGGGGGGTCGGGTGAAAGACATTAGAATGAAACAGAATGCAACATGCACAAGTTATGCAATCGTTGGATACACTGGATACGTTGCATTCGGGCTTCCATGTCCTGGGACCATTTTAGAGGCTGCTTGGGCCGTCATGGACCGCTGTGGATAGAAATCGACGAGAACGCTAAAACCCATTCAAAAAACCGTAGGAAAAACAATGATTGGGGCCTCTGGAGGCGCTCTTGGGGGTCCTCTTGAAGCCCTCTGGGGCCTTCTTGGGAGCTTTTGGGGCCCTCTTGGGGCCATCTTGCACAGTCTTGGGGTCGTCTTGGCCCGTCATGAGGCCATCTTGGCCGTCTTGACGCACTCTTGGATCCCCAAGAGGCCCCAGGGGCCCCAATCATTGATGTTTCATAGGTTGATGTACGTTTTGGGGCTCCAGAAGGGAGCGGGGGCCATCCTGGTCGGCGGATGTGGCGTGGCCCCTGGGGGGGTCGGGTGGAAGACATTAGAATGAAACAGAATGCAACATGCACAAGTTATGCAATCGCTGGATACACTGGATACGTTGCATTCGGGCTTCCGTGTCCTGGGACCATTTTAGAGGCTGCTTGGGCCGTCATGGACCGCTGTGGATAGAAATCGACGAGAACGCTAAAACCCGTTCAAAAAACCGGAGGAAAAACAATGATTGGGGCCTCTGGAGGCGCTCTTGGGGTCCTCTTGAAGCCCTCTGGGGCCTTCTTGGGAGCTTTTGGGGCCCTCTTGGGGCCATCTTGGATAGTCTTGGGGTCGTCTTGGCCCGTCATGAGGCCATCGTGGCCGTCTTGACGCACTCTTGGATCCCCAAGAGGCCCCAGGGGCCCCAATCATTGATGTTTCATAGGTTGATGTACGTTTGGGGGCTCCAGAAGGGAGCGGGGGCCATCCTGGTCGGCGGATGTGGCGTGGCCCCTGGGGGGGAGGGGGGGAGACATCGTAACGAAGCATAATACAATCTGCACAATTCATGCAACCATTGGATACATTGGATCCATTGCATTACAGAATCCGCAGACCTGCCTCCAGTAACACGTCACTTCCGGACATGGATTCCTGTCGCTTCGCGGGGTGCACGTCTGGAGTACGCACAGTCAAGTCGTTTGGGGGGTTCTCGGGAGTCTCGTGGGGGCGTCTTGATGAGCCGTATTGGGCGCTATTGCGCCGTTTGGCCCTTGCGGAGGCCGTACTGGGGGCCTCTCGCGGCCACCTGGGGGTTCTCTTGGGATCCTCTTGGGCCGTCTCGTGGGCCCTTGGGCCTTCTTGGGGACCTCTCTGGGCCGTCTTGGAGCCCTCTGGGGCCGTCTGGGGGTCTTCTCGGGCGTTTCTTCAGCCGTCATGGGCCGATTTTGGAGGCTGCTTGGGTCGCCAGGAGTCGAAAAGAACGAGAACGCGAAAATCCTTCACAACCCTTTTTCTGGAAAGTCAATGATTTTGGGCTTGCGGGGGCGCTATTGGGGCTCCTTTGGGAGCCCTCTTGGACCGTCTCGGGCGCTTTTTGGGCCCTCTTGGTGTCATCTTGGGCCGTCTCGGGGCCGTCGTGGGCCGTCTAGAGCCCATCGTGAGCCGTTTTGAGGCCCTCTTGGGCCCCCGGGAGGGCCACGGGGCCCAAATCATAGATTTTCCATTGGCTCTGGGGGTTCTTGAAGCCCAGAAGGGGGTCCACCACCTTTGGGTCGGTGGATGTGGCGTGGCCCCATGGGGGGGGGGGTAGGGGGGAGACATTACAACGTGACACATTACAACATGTAGCAAGTATGCAATCATCGGGTACATTGGATACGTTGCATTAAGGCGTTCAGGAAACGCTGCCACTCAGCACGTCACCTCCAGACGTGGATTCTTCAGGCTTGCGCCATATCCGCCGACCCTTTTTGTTTGATTATGAGTTGAAAGATCTATGTTGGTGTCATCCTGGCAGGTTTCAGGAAGCTCGTGGGTTGATGATGGGACGATGAGTCTGCTGTGGCTAGCGCCCTGATGGAAAACATGTTTGGGTTCCCGTGCTGCGGATTCTCCCGTTGGTGATCTTTGGCGTTGTCCTGTTGTTGCCTCGTGGGCCGTTGTAAGGATGGTCAATGATGTATGTATATACTGAACGCGCGGGGCTGGGACATCTGGATAGAGCTGGTCATAGAATTCGCCCGTAAAGCAGAGGATTGGCGATCGAACTGATGGGCCTAAAGGAAAACACATAATGTAATCTAGCGTGGGTCCCAGACCGTAACTTCTTGTATGTTGGATGTGTAATCTATGTGTGGTGCGAGCTATGTGGTGTAAGATATGTGTTGCAGTATAGTTGGTGCAAGCTAGCAGGGGCAACAAAGCGGCACTGAGCGGCAACGTGGCGAAACCTCGCCAGATCCACCTAGCGCACGAGGCGGCAATGAGGCGGCAATGGATGGCAACATGGCGAGGTCTCGCCGAACCCGCCCAGCGCACGAGGTGCACCCTGGCGAAACTTCGCTGGACCCAGCCGGCGCACGAGGCGGCAACGAGGCGGCAAAGTTTCGAAATGTCGCCAGATCCATAGAATTTGTTTTGACGCACGTAAGATACTCCAAGTACAAGCCCTGCTTCGGGAAAACCTGCTTTTTATCAACAAGAAATCGACCAGTTCTATGTATCGCTCGCGTGATTTTGAACGGACCCGTTCTATGGCAATGTACACGACCAGTCCTGTCCTGTTCCGAGAGCAAATCTCACGACGTGGAGGGCCGCGGGGCCGCAGCGTCGCGTTCCCTTTCCAGGGGAACGCGTCTCGAAGCACATCAAAGCAACATCGATTGCGTCGCCCCCCTACCCCCAAAGTTAAAGGGGTTTTGCGAGACGCACCGTACCAGGGACGAAATGTTGGAGTTTAGCTCAGTCTTCCCCACACCGGCCAACACGGAGAAGAGGGGTTCTGTTGAAATTAAGTCCAAGCCGTCCCGTGGCTCATTTGACAACGTGGCCCCATGGTCCAACCCCGTTGGCAAATTTGACACGATCGGAGAGTCCAGCATCACGGCGTTGCTTCAGCTCCAGTGGCCAAGCTGACAAGTCGACTTCATTGTCGAATTGGCAATCTGAGCCCCGGCGGGAGCGGCGGAACGGCGCCACGATTGCCAATTGGACAGCGAGGCCCGATTGTCCAATGACAAATCGGGGGCGGCGGGCACCGACGGGTGAAGGGAGCCCCGGTTGTTCACTTGACATGAGGACCCGATCATCAGATGGCCACTCGGGACGGCGGCGGCATGCAGTCCCGATGGACCGTTTGGCAGTGGGACCCCGCGGTCAAGTGACCCATCGGGGGTACCCAGCCCGGGCGGGGGCACCGAGCCCCGACTGGTCATCTGACAAGGGGGCCCCATGGTCGACTGACCCATCGGGGTGGCTGGAATCCCACACGCCGCCGATGGCTCACCTGAGAAGAGGGCTCCCAAATGTCGACCTGCCAGTCGTGATGGCTGACATCTGGAACGACGCCAACGGCCCATTCGACAACGGCCCGTTGTCGAATGACCAACAGCTTCGCTGCGAACTTTTTCGGGCGAGTTCGGCCCCATCACGCTTCGAGACCCCGGAAGGGTCGGCGAATCGCGCTCTTGAACATACTCACAGGCCAGCGGTTGAAATTGCGTGCTTTCTTAGACCCCAGATCCTAATTTACGTTCAACGCTCAGCATGATCCTATTGCAATTGTCGAACTATGAGTTCTCTCATGTTTCCCCTGGGCGGGCCAAAACCGAAGTGTATGTTGATCGCCTTCTCGTGTTCATGTTTACCCACTAATTCTGGACAGCCTGTACAGGAATCTTTGTCGAGAGCGCCCTCAAGCTGGCTGAGCCCCACGATTTTGCCAAGGCTGACGAATATAGCAGAATGGTGAACGGACAGGCGCATGCCTTGAAAGAAATGTTGGCGCGTTTTGACTTTGACCTAGATGGCTCCATCTCCAGGGATGAGTTCGCCGAGATCGCCAAGGACGCCTGGGTTCAGAGCTATTTGCGATACCTGGGAATCGAGATGCCTAGCGTGGATACGTTCTTCAACATGCTCGGGGGCGTAGACGAGCATGGCACCGTAGCGATCGACAGGTTCGTCGACGGGTGCATGCGCTTAAGAGGCGAGGCCAAGAGCATCCATCTGAACCAACTCTTGTATGAGGTGAAATGTCTAGACTTGTCCAGTGTACACTCGGCGGTATCCGCGATGAGGCACGAGCTCAGCATCGTCAAGAAGTATTTGGAGAACCGCGTTACTATCGAGGCCTTCGATGATGAGAGCCATAATCCCAAAGGGAATGATATGCGGGCGAAGCCAGGAGCAGTCGCTTCTAGTGGTGGCGTTTTTCTCTGCACGTCCATCGTGCCCACCGAACCCACCGTTCCGTCTCATATGACTCTGGGTTAGGTGGTGGCGTGCATGAAAGCGTACTCCATGGATTCTGCCGATTCGAATAATTGCTTGGTGGTTTGATCATGGGGGGTATGGCAAGCAAGGTTCTCCCAACAGTGTTTTCACAGGGGTTCTTATGTGTTTCTTCACTCAGCAGTGCCTGCACGGCACGGTTCTCGCTTGCGCCAGGGTCAGGTGTTCGTCACGGTGCGGGCCCGAGCCGCCTCGTACGTGCCCCCCGCTTGGTGTGTGTGTGTGTGTGTGCATTGGATGTTCGCCACGTTGTCGCCCGTGCCGCTTCTTGGGCGCCCCGTGCATCACGTAGCTTACACCCCATGGTTTTCACTTCCAGTTCGCACCGCCTAGCTTACACGACATAGCGTCCATCATATAGCTTGCACCCAGCAGTGTTCACCTCCGTAGCTCACACCACAAAGCTTACACGACGCAGCGTACACCACACTTCACAGTGCAATAACAGCCGACTAGAAGGATCGAAGGAAAACCGAATACATCCACAAATTGTGCCCAGGCTTGAAGCCATGATCAAGGGAATGCCTGAGCACGCATTGGAGCAGCCGCGTTGGAATCGTGGCGGGGTCGCAGAAAGGAACGGGAACAGTTCCCCATGCCGCGGCGGCTATCTTCGGCCGCGTTGGCGCGTCGATCTTCCCACCCTTCTTTCTTGTTGGGTGCTCGATATCTTCTGGGAGCCATGCTGGGGTCTTATTGGGTGCCGCTTGGGCTCCTTTTGAACCACTCTTGACACTCTTTTTGGGAGCCTTGGGGCCCTTTGGGGGAGTCATGGGGCCCCCTTGGAGCGAGCTGGGGCCCCATGGCTAAAATAGTGGGAGGTCCTGAACCCTGATCCCACCACCGAGGCCGAACAATTGCCTCTTGGATCCCTTGGGGGACGCTCGTGGGTCGCTCTTGGGCGCTGGTGAGGCGGTATTAGGGCATGTATGGGCATGTTGGGGCACTTCGTGGGGCTCTCGTGGGCCCTCTTGTGGCAAGCTTGAGGCCTCAGAGGTCCGCCCGAAACCAAACGGCGAGAAGGAAAACAAGTACTCCAGATTTCGTAATAAAGGGAGGGGGGTCTCATTTCGGGGAGGGTCTCTTCCAGGCTATCTTGGAGGGCCTGGGGGGGGGTCTGGGGACGATGTTTTGGAGGGTTCTCCCACGGGGGAGGTCTGAAATGGCTTGTCTTGGAGGGTCCAGACCCCCTCCCTTTTATTACGAAATCTGGAGTATAGTTGTCCTTAGATGGTTGAAGGGTTTTTGCAGCTGTGGGAGGGATACCTCGGAGGGGGGGCTCCAAGGGCACTTGGAACCGTCTTGGAGCGGTGTTGGAGCTTTTTGCAGCATGTTGGAAGCCACCTTGAGCGATCATAAGCCATCTTGGAGTCCATGCCGCAGCATATGGAGCCTTCTTGGCGCGATCCTGGGCCATCTTAGACACTCCAATGGGTCGCACCCCTCCTCCTGAAGTCGTCGGTGTCGTCGTTGTCATCGTCGTCGTCGTCGGCGTCGTCATCGTCGTCGTCGTTTTCATCGTCGTCGTCGGCGTCGTCGTCGTCGTTGTCGGCGTCGTCGAAGTCGTTGGAGACGTCGTCGGTGTCGTCGTAGTCGTTGTCGGCGGCGTCGTCGTCGTCGTTGTCGCTGTCGTCGTCGGCGTCGCTGTCGTTGCCAAGTGCCATTTGGTACCCACCGTCACGGTCTTGAGAGATTTTGCAAACCAAGTTGCGGGTGGGTGGGTGGGATGTTTGCAAGAGCGCGGGATGTGTCAACTCGTTTGTTAAAATCAGTTGCACCACATGAAGTTCAACACAAAGAGTGCACAACAGGCAGTGCACCACATAGGTTGCACCAGTTAGATTGCACTACATAGCCTGCACCACATGGGTGGAACCGCATATAATGCACAACATGGCTTGCACAACATATGTTGCATCACATAGGGTGCACAGCCGATATTCTCCTTTCTAAAAGAAGATAGACTCTCCCCCCCCCCCCCGGAGTTAACGGGCCACCTTTTCGTATTGCAGTTTACATATGGTTCTGCCCCATCGTCCACCCGACTTGCGAATTCATACCCAGCCAAACGGGTATCGCCCCCCCCCCGCCCGCTTCTGCAAAAATACTATGCACTCACATTCGCTCATCAACAATCAGAAGTTGTCAGGAAACCCTTGCATAAAACGGGACGAAGTGCACACGCGCGCGTCGTCGCGCGCGCATGCCGGAATCCTACAAAAACCTTCGGTGTCAGAAGGATTTCAAAATTGAGTTCCCAAAAAACATACAAAAACACAGCGGTTCGCAACATTAATTTTCTAAGAAAATTACGCGCGCGCTCTTGCGAAATCTCACGACAACCATAGGTTTTTTCAAGAGTTACAACAAATACTACAAAACGGGCTTCGCGCGCGCGCATGTCGAAATCTTTCGAACGCCCTTGCGCGCGTGCCGTCGCGAGAATCCCCTGCAGAAACAATTTGGCGAAGTGCGCACGCGCGCGTCGTCGCGCGCACATGCCGAAATCCGTCAAAAACTTACGGTTTCGGAAAGATTCCAAAATCGTGTGTCAAAAAAATACGAAAACACCAGGTTTCGCAACATTGATTTTCAACGAAAGCGTGCGCGTTCTTGCGTCGTCGTCGTCGTCGCCGTCCTCCCTCCTCCCTCGTCGTCGTCGTCGTCGCCGTCGTCATCCTCTATCTTTCCTCGTCGTCGTCGTCTTGGCGTCGTCTTCGTTTCCGTCGTCGTTGTCGCCGTGGTCGTCCTTCCTCCCTCGTCGTCTTCGACGGCGTTTCGTCGTTGTCCCTCCTATTTCGTCGTCGTCGTCGTCTTCCCTCCTCCCTCGTCGGTGGCGTCGTCGCCGTCGTCGTCCTCCGTCCTCCCTCGTCGTCGTTGTCGTCTTCATTGGCGACGTCGTCGTATTCGTCGTCGTCGCCGTCGTCGTCGTCGGCGGCGTCGTCGTCGTCGTCGGCGTCGTCGTCGTCAGCGTTGTCATCGTCGTCGTCGGCGTCGGCGTCGTCGTCGTCGGTGTTGTCGTCGTCGTCGTTGTCGTCGTCGCCGAAGTCGTTGGAAACTCGCCCGCAACATCTACCTGTAGTCGACGTTGCCATGATACCGCGCCCGCCCAAGTCGCCGACTGGCAATGAAGTGCCCGCTGGTATGTGCCCAACGATCTGCGCCACCGCGGCCGCGTCGGTCGCGCCAAACCAAATGGCCGCTGCGCGCGCGTGCTTGGGTTGGCGCGACCGCCGAGACGCACCAGCCAACGCCGAGCATGCATCGCAATCGCCACCTTATGGGTTTTGAAAACCAGGTTGCGGATGGGTGGGTGGGATGTTTGCAAGAACACGGGATGTGTCATCTCGTTTGTTGAAATCAATTGCACCGCATATATTCTCTTTTCCTAAAGAAGAAAAGACTCCACCCCCCCGGAGTTAACGGGCCACCTTTTCGTATTGCAATGTACACATGATTCCGCCCCATCGTCCATCCTACCTGTGAATTCATATTTTCCCCGCCAAAGGAGTATCGCCCCCCCCCCCGCCAGCCTCTGCAAAATATTATGCGCGCGCATTCATGTATCAAAAATCATAAGTGGTCACGAGTCCCTTGCAACAAATGGGACGAAGTGCACACGCGCGCGTCGTCGCGAGCGCATGCCGACATCATTCAACGATTTCGAAAGGATTTCAAAATCGAGTTCCCAAAAAACGCACGATAACACATGGTTTCGCAACACGGATTTGCTTGAAAAATTACGCGCGCTTTTGCGAAATCTTACGGCAACCATAGGTTTTTCAACATTTACAACAAAGACTACCAAACGGATTCCGCGCGCGCATGTCGAAATCATTCGAACGCCTTTGCGCGCGTGCCGTCGCGAGAACCCTGTGCAAACAGAAATGGGCGAAGTGCGCGCGCGCGCGCGTCGACCGCGCGCGCGCGCATGCCGAAATCCGTCAAAAACCTTCTGTTCCGGAAGGATGTCAAAATTGACGGCCTAAGAATCATACAACAACACACGGTTTCGCAACACGGTGTTTCAACAAAAGCGTGCGCGCGCGCTTTTGCGTCGTCGTCGTCGTCGCCGTCCTCCCTTCTCCCTCGTCGTCGTCGTTGTCGTCGTCGCCGCCGTTTTCCTTTGTCCTTTCTCGTCCTCGTCGTCTTGGTGTCGTCGTCATTTCCGTCGTCGTTGTCGCCGTGGTCGTCTTTCCTCCCTCGTCGGTTTCGTCGGCGTTCCGTCGTTGTCCTCCTATTTCGTCGCCGTCGTCGTCGTCGTTTTCCCTCAAACCTCGTCGTTGTCGTCGTCGGCGTCGCCGTCATCCCTCCTTTTTCGTCGTTCGCGTCGTCGCCGTCCTCCCTCCTCCCTCGTCGTTGTCGTCGTTGCCGCCGTCGTCGACCTCCCTCCTCCCTCGTCGTCGTCTTCGTCGTCATCGGCTTCGGCGGCGTCGTCGTTGTCGTCGTTGTCATCGTCGTCGTCGGCGTCGGCGTCGTCGTCGTCGGTGTCGTCGTCGTCGTTGTCAGCCTCGTCGGAGTCGTTGGAGACGTCGTCGGTGTCGTCGTAGTCGTGGTCGGCGGCGTCGTCGTCGTTGTCGCTGTTGTCGTCGGCGTCGGTGTCGTTGCCAAGTGCCATGTGGTACACACCGTTACGGTCTTAAGAGGTTTTGCGAACCAAGTTGCGGGTGGGTGGGTGGGATGTTTGCAAGAGCAGTGGAGTGGACATTTCACTGCGAATAGAACTTGATTCTCCTTTCAAAAAAGAAAATAGACTCTACCCCCCCGGGGTTATCCGTACCCCTTTCGGGTATGTAGATCATATATGAATATGACCACACGTCCATCCTAAGTATGAATTTACACCATCCCCGGGGGGGCGGTATTGCTCCCCTTGAGGTTCCCTTGTTAAAAACGATACTCGGGGACATTCGTTGTTCTAAACACTTCTGCACGAACCCCTTGCAAAAAATGAGACGAAGTGCACACGCGCGCGTCGTCAC